CGGCAGCACTACAGCTCCAAGCCCAAGAAGCAGACCACCACCACGGCCACGCGGCCCCCGCGGGCGCTGCTCTGCCTCACGCTCAAGAACCCCATTCGCCGGGCCTGCATCAGCATCGTCGAGTGGAAGTATCCTTTGGTGACATCACTTGAGCTGTTGCCATGGCGATAGCTTGGCTGCTATTTAGGGTCATTTAACTGCGAAATTACTCCAAAAACATGAAGCAATGCCGTCGGAAATTATTAACCTGGACTCTACCGTTTGCATTTTGAGGCAGGTTTGGAATAAAATCAATCCCCCCGCCCCCGTGCGCTTTTACACATCGATTTGGAGCCAAATGTCATGACTTCTTCCACTTCTCCACCAAGAAGTCCGCTGGAAATTTTGCTTAATCCTACGACACAAACGTGCTTGAAATCATCGTACGGTATTGTTGCTCTGCATCTAAATTGGTTCATTAGTTTTAACGCGGTCCCACCAGCACACAATCGCAGAAACGGGATTTGATTCTTTTTTTTTTCTTTTTTTAATGCAACAAGAGGAGGAAAAGCCTTTAAATATATGGAAGAATGACTCCCAAGTGCCTCTTTCTCCTCCGTGCCATCAGCTGGGCCGGGTTAATCAACCTGCGTGCCCTCTGGCTTTCAATACTTGTGAGCCTCCTCTTCCTCTTTTTTTTTTTTTTTTTTTTGGGCTTCATCTTCCTTTCATCCTTTTTGTTTACTCACATGCGGATTAAAAAGCCGCTTCGTTCCCCCGTCACACTTTTCTCTCTCTCTCTCTCGCCGCATTCATCCTCTCTTCCGAGGGTCCCTCCTCCTACGCCCCTCCCCCCCATTTAGTATCCCTCCGTCTGTACAATAGCCGTTCTTCTCCATGCGCTTCGCCTCCTACTTTTCTTTTCGAGCTCCATTGTTGGCTAGTTTTCGGATTAGCGTCGCTCCACGCTGGGAAGAGATGGGGAAGGTAAACTTGAGGGATGACAAAGGCAAGCGGGGGCGATAGGAATTAAGTCCCACGTGCATCCGTCGCTCCAAGGTTGTCGTCTGTTTAAACGAGTGCGATATTTGGCCGTCTCGTTTTGGGAAAAGGGGGAAGGCCTCTCAGGATTGGCGTGGCTAATGGAGACCGTTTATTTTTATTTAGTGATGCATTTATTTATTTATATCGGAAGCAGTTATAGTAAATTGCGGCAACCAGCAGGCGCTGATGAGTTCGCAGATGATTACCCACAATTCCCGGCATTAATCATGCAAACAACGCGGAAGGAGAAGGAGTTGAACAAATAGCACGCGCGCTCGAAGCAATAAATCTCCAAATTACACCCAATTTGGAGGTCAATTTGAATTGGACGCCCTTCGTAACTTGGGCCGGTTGGTGCGTGCGCGTCCCTCATGAGACGGCGGGTGCCCAAATCTGCCTCCTCCTGTTGCCATGACAACCCATAACTCCTCAACGGGTCGGCGGGGCCCGTTCTGAGCTCACAAGCACACGTTGTCTCACGTGGGTGCGATGAAAACAACAACAACCACGTGAGGTAGCCCTTTTAGTTACGTGAGCGGGAGGGACAAATGATTAGAAACGGCTGTCGACCACAATAAACAACTAATGCCAAAACCAAAGCGATATTTCCCATATGGAACAATGTAAATCCAATGAATCCATTCCAGACGCCCCAAAAACCACACCTCCCTGACAGTATTATTTCTCCGCCTTGCCATTTAAGCCACAAATCAACTGATAAAACTCTTCACTTTTCATAATTTTTCTCCCAAGTGTCATATTTTTTTATTTTTTTTAACCCTCCTCCCTAAACATTGCAGCATCTTGCAGATTTATTATCGTGTTGATAGAAGCCGACCTTTTTTTTTTTTTTTTTTTTTTTCCCCCCGCCCCCGTCTCAATTATGGGTCAGTATCTGGGAGCGAGTCGGCCCGTGTTTCAGCGAGCCCGTTTTGCGTCTGGGTTGTGTTCTAATGAGACCCGCTCCAGGGGTGAGTGATTAAGTTTGATCCATTTTTGCTCTTGTGGCGTAAGGTCAAGCCTTAATCCAAACATAAACACAACACTGGGAGCAGACGTATCCGTCTCTGTCTGCGGGGCCACTCTGAAAACTCTCCGAAATGGACCCCCCTTTACTCTTTATCCTGTCGAGAGCCCATCCACTTTTGAGGTTTATAACCCATTAGGGCCGTTTTACCAGCGACATGAGCCATCGCTGCACCACCAACAAAATGATGATATTATCGAAAGCCATTTTCAACCGAAAAGCGAAACCTTTTCGTCGCTGCCGCATCAACGCACAGATGTACAATCCCGTTCAGTAAATCGATGCGTCTTCAAATAAGCGAATGAATTGTGCTTTACGGTGTGGATCGAGAACTACGGTAGCTGCACTGCATTTAACGTTTTTTGCTCAAATTGGATTTTTCAGGACTCGGAGGCTTTTTTGGGGAAAATTATTTGATACGGTGGATACACATTTAAAAAAAAAAAAAAAAAAAATTGTCCAACAGTGAAGCATTGACCCCGAAAATGGCCCACCCTGGCCAGCATTTTTCTGCTAGGTGCACACGCTTGCTAGCCGAAAGGGAGAAGGGTGAGGTGGAGGGAGTAATTGCGCTGATGAAAAGCAGACCTCCTCTGTCTCTCCTTCACGTTCTCTCGCTGGCTCCCGCTCGCTCGCCCGGCCAAAAATAATGAGGTCACTCGCCTCTCAAGGACCCCCCCCCCCCCAAAAAAAAGTGTCTTTCCCTCATTCCTCCAGACACATCCCGTCTTCCACGCGACGGCGCCCATATTTGGGCATGCGCGCTCCCTCTCGAGACAAGTGGGCCCATAGATCGCATCGTTTCGCGCCTTTAATGTTCTTCCTCGTGTGCACAAAATGATGTTTTCACAGTTAAGATTGAGGCATTGATCAGAGTGACAAATGCCACCTGTTAGAAAACGGGCGACGCCGGCGTTTAAAGAGCGAGTCGGCCCCGGGGATCGATGGCAATCTAAGTAAGACGAATGACGCCGCCGGGGCTTGTGTATCGTCCGCGCTTTGTCCGTGTATTCCTTAATCCGCCTCCTCCTCTCAGACCGTTCGAGATCATCATCCTGATGACCATTTTCGCTAACTGTGTGGCCTTAGCCGTCTACATCCCCTTCCCAGAGGACGACTCCAACGCCACCAACTCCAATCTGGTGAGTAGCCCTCCCGTTTGAAATCAAAACAGCGAGAAATGTTCGAATTGGGGAAAAATACGACCGTGACGCAGTTCCCAGTGAATCGGCGTTATTTTGCCGTGGATACCGGTCAGCCAATTTGACCCAAAGGTTTGCGATCAAAGTCCAAGAATCATTCTTTGTATGGATTCCCAGAAGGCTGTTTGGCGCCTTAGCTTGTTTGGATTGGGAATTGCTTTGAGCGCTCGGCGGACTGTCTGATGACGTCCCGAAAAACGTCTTGCGTAACTGTCGATTTTTCCGTTGGGCAAAACCTGACCCCCTCGCCGCCCCCTCGACCGGAGTGCGGCGTGTGGGTCTGTGCGTCATCGCCTGCGAGTTGTGTGTGGGGTTGCGCGTGAGGCCGCTAATCCCCGTGAGGCCGCGTCACATCTGTCACACTGTCCTTCTTTCATTCTTTCGAAGAACGCTCTTGTCAAGATGGGCGCGAGCCGCCTTTGCAAATCAATACAAAACCGTCTTTCTGATTTCCTGACAGTTAAAAGATACCGTCGACCCCGCAACGACCCGGTTCAGTATGTCAGCCATGTTTGTGGAAGATTTTTTTTTGTTTGTTTTGTTTTTGTTTTTGTTTTTGTTTTTTGCTAGGAATGGGCCAAAAAAGCTAATTTGCTCCTCTTTTTTTGCTACTGGTCTTTTTTTAACCTGCACCCGGAAGGGTTAAAAGTGAGACACGAAGAACCGATATGCGGTGTTATCATATCATATTGTGCTGTAATGTTATTAGATAACTGGACACAACAGTTGAACACACACACACACACACACACACACACACACACACACACACACACACACACACACACACACACACAGATGTGTTTACATTACTTATGTAACGTCACAGATCCGCCGTACCGCTTCCAGTCCCCATTTTCTATTTCCGTCACGCATCCCATAATGAGCCGCCCCGTCTCCTTGACGACGCGGCCAATAATAGCAGCGCCAGGAGAGGCAGGTTGTCATGGATATGGTAACCGTAGCGATGCTCCTCGGATGTCCCGGCTTTGCAGAGAGACGGAGGAGACCCAAAAAAAAAATGCGCTAAAGTCCGTCCCGCTCGCTCTCATTGGCGGCAATTATTGCTTTCATTAACGCTTCATTTGCGCGGCGAGACACTAACATCAGCCCAATCGGTATTAGGCGATAAATAGCGACGGAATCTGTGCATCGGCAAACAAACGTGTCGCTCGTTAAATTGTAAACTTTAATCGAGTGAGATAAAATGCGTCCATAAAAGTTGCACGGCCGACAAAGTATTTATTTGCACGCGTTCGCAAAACACACACACACAGATGCGTGACTTTACCCACTACGGGGCGACAGAGGGGCAAGTGGGCGGAGCTTAACCGTTCTGCAAGACTGTGTCATGCTGCATTGATGACTCACCGATGGCACAAACACATTAAATAGCAATAAGTCCTGTCAGAAATGCGCACACACACACACACACACACACACACACACACACACGCACGCACGTGTTCTGGGCTGTTGTTCAAAGCTTAGCAGGATTAGCCACTCTGGAAAACAAAAGAGATAATTTCATATTTTTAGAATCTGCAGGCAAAGCGCACCTTTGTGTTACAATTGATGGCTTACTACATGCAAAAAAATAAAATGCCGGGTTGTTTTCATGAAATAAAATAAAAACAAAAATGCTATTGGAAAAAAAATTGGGGTCAAATGAATAACACAGAAAATAACCCGATTTGGGGGTTATTTTGTGCACTTCCCCACTATCACCCCATTTTGGTTAAATTAATAACCCAAAAAGTTTACCCAATTGTGTCCTTGACCCATCTGGTTTTTGGGGTGTATAAATAACCCAACATCGGCTCGGTCCAATTAGCCGTTTCACCCAATTTGGATCACTTTTGGCCCAGCGCTTTGAAGAGCGTATTATTTTTGAGCCAATGTGAAGCCAGCGATGGATACAAAGCTGCTTTGGGGTTTTTGTTTGAGCATGTCAACAATCCCAACTGCGCGACTTGAGGTCATGTAGTCCATTATAATTGAATCTAAACGTGCTGGAACTTCTGAGTCATGAGGGATTCCTGTATTTGGTGTCGAAACGGCAAAGATGTGAAAGCCGCGTAGTGCCGCCTGAGCTCGATTCCAACAATTTCCTTGCCGGAGTGAATTTTAATGTCGGCCATTTGCTAATATTAGAGTGTCAGTGGAGCGTTCAGCAGCAAGATGTCACCGTCTTGATTTTTGTTTCTTCAAACCTTCCAAAGCCGTGTCGCTTTTCACCATTTTTCGCCCTCGCTCTTTTTTGCATCTTGAAACCATCAGCGTCTTGGCGGCGAGGCGGCGCGTGGGGAGAAACAGACCCCGCGATCCCATTGTGCGTGGCAGCCATTGCATTGTGTTCATAAGCTGGCACAAAGCCTCTCCTTGCCGTTTCCAAGGCGACAAGTTGGATGGCACTTTAGTCCATAACAATATTCATGAAAGGTTTGAGAGGTAGGTCAAACGTGGCACAAACAGGAACTCCTCTGTTTAAGGAGGGGGGGAGAAAAAAACGGAACCACCAATTGGAGACAGCTTGCATGCGTGGGTGTGATTTGATGAGGACAGTAAAAAAAAAAAACAAAACCAAAAACAGGAGTTTTTCGCTTTTCCGCTCTGGGGCTTCTGCGCAGGAAGCCCCTCATTTGCATGTCTAGGAAAACACACACACACACACACACATGGGTCAAGGCCTGCTTAATCAAACCAGCTGCACGCTGCAAATTGGGATGTAACACCTCTATTGTTGCCAGACGGTGTGAACGACGAAAGTTTTTTTTTTTTTTTTTGGAGGGCGTGTCACAATCAGCAGCAATTTGACAAATCGTGAACAGGTCATACTTACTCCCTGTTGAGGTTTTCTGTCAAACTAAACATCAGACAAGGCTAACATACGAAAGGAAAAGGCATTGACATGCTAACGGTTAGCATAGAAAAGAGCGTTTTTCGAGCGGTTTATGGAAAGAATATTTGAAAAGCGTTTTACCGAGTTAAAGTAGTAATAAAATTACTATTCTTAGAAGTAGAATATTATCACGGCAGGATGCTGCGTGCTATCATGCTGAATAATCACCAATAGCGTTTCTGCTACGGAAGCGAGATGACGAAAGGGACATCGTCGAGTTCCACTGCCACATCTGTAAAAACGAGAGCGCTATTTTTAAACCAGGAAGTTGGCTGGAATTTCAGAAATGCTCACGTACGTTTCCTGCACATTGTCCTCGTAATGAGTGACTTTGCTCCATCTTAGTGGAAGTAGCGGCAGAGGCAGACCGCGCAGAATGATGAAAGCGAAGAAAAGGAAGCGCGTCACTAATGTTTCCTGCTAAAATATTCAAACGAGTGCTGCATGATGCGTCACCCTGTCCCACGCGGACATGGAGGGGCGCCCCCCCCCCCCCCCACACACACACACACACACCCCACCGCAAAATCCGCACCAAAAGAAGCACGCAGGAGCCTGCGGCCATATTTTAGCATGCTGAAGTTCCTTTTCACACACTCCTCTGACTCAAAACGACTTAATAATTTAGGGGAGCGAATTGCAGGCGAGCGAGTGCGCCGGTAAATCCGAAAATTGGGCATGGTTAAAAAAAAAAGCAACGTTCGTATCATTGTGAAACACTTAGTTGTCATTACTAGGCCCATTTCTACCACAATAACGTGCAGTTAGCTAGCGAGCTCTGCTTACGCCCCAAAAATGCATTTTCGCCCGATGCCACGACTGAAGAAACAACTCAGTGTCATTATTTATATTCCCAAGTGAGGAGTTGACGCTGCAATCGATTCCGCCGCCTGAGAGGAACCCCTGGAAACCTTTTAGCTTGCGAGCTAGCAGGTGGCTAGCACCTCACCGTCGTGGCACGGAAAGTCTGGCAAAAAAAATCAGTGGCATATATTTCAGTGGGTATGTCTTTCAAAGTCAAACAAAAGGCGTAAGAAAGATGCTCGCTGACGATTATTTACTTCATTTTATTTTCTCGTGCTTGCACTGACAGGAAGAAAAAACAAATCAGTGGATTTTCCCACAGATTCCCCAAGTTAGCAGAATTAGCGCCTGCTCTTCCACATGTAGACGTTTGTATTTCTCCAGTTGTTCATTTAAATCTGAAGACTTTGAGACTCTGAGCCTCGGGCATTCGCCTTTTTTTCCAGTTGGTAAATTAGCGCATTTCCGACATACTGTTTCGTCTTCCCATGTCGAGTATTTTTCGACAAATCTAAACTGAAAAGACCCGCGAGCTCTCGCGTGTCATCCGCCGCCCGCCAACCTTCAGCGTTCCTTTCATCCACGCCGCCCGAACTCGGCGCATGAAACATTAACAACCCGCAGTCGGCAGAAAGGAGGAGCTTCCAGTCACCTCGCAACATGTGCAACTTGTTGAGTGGAGCGATTGGGGGGGGGGGGGGGGGGGGGTATTTTTCGACAAATCTAAACTGAAAAGACCCGCGAGCTCTCGCGTGTCATCCGCCGCCCGCCAACCTTCAGCGTTCCTTTCATCCACGCCGCCCGAACTCGGCGCATGAAACATTAACAACCCGCAGTCGGCAGAAAGGAGGAGCTTCCAGTCACCTCGCAACATGTGCAACTTGTTGAGTGGAGCGATTGGGG